CAACTCGGAGACGATGCTGTGTGTAATTGATCACTTCTTCTTGCAAGCGGTCTTTCATGGGAGACAGCAAAAAGGGCTGAGTTCTTTGAAAAATCCAAAAAATTCAAGATGTTCGGTACTAGATGCTAGTCTAATCACCGATTGTCTTGCTGGGTTGGTCCTCTTCTTGTAAACGCATGTATTTCGTTCCAATTTTTTATCACGAAATCGCTTTTTTTATTAAAATTTTTAATAATTTCAGTTGATTTTAAACCAAAATCGTTGGCCGGCGAAAAAGAAACATTCATAGCATTCGGTGGAAACGGTGATGTACAAGTAAAATTTAACCTGTACTTTTGTTTACAACTTTGCAGCAGTTAATGCTCAGAAAATGTATAATCACAGAAAAGTCAAACTGTATAATCGTGGTATCCACATACAGAAATAGTGGTAACCCTCATAAGTGTGACAGACTGACGATAGTAACGGTCATTGTAATAATATGACATTAGGAGTAAATGCATCGGTGAATTAATACTTAATAATTGACCAACGCACGGGCTGCCCGTGCGAAGATGCGTTTTTTGCACAGTTCCCCACAGTTTTTGTCGCTACTGGCGTCGGTTTTTTCGGCAAATGCTTCTAGCTAAAAAAATTAGGACTGGCCGTCAGAACTGTCAGGAAACACCCCCTTAAAATTTCAGCTTTCTAGCTTTCCTGGTTCGCGAGTTATCAATTTACCCGAAAAAAATTTTGACGAGCTCGTACGCAGGTACCACGCGGGTAAGAGCGCACATTTTGGGGATGGGTGCCCGTACGTGCATGTAGCTTAATTCCTAAAGTTTCAGCCTTATAGCTTTTGTAGGTCTCGAGATGAAAAATCGGTACGGAGACCCTGCGCACACACAGACACACACACACACACAGACAACCTCTCGTCAATATGCGTTTTCCGCATTGCATAGCTGCAAAAAACGTATAAAAACACGATGGTGAAATTGCCTTTGGTAACGATACTGGTCAAAATGGTTTTTATGCTTTTTACGCTGTGTAACAGCAGCACAGAACGCATATTGTCACGGGGTTGTGTGTGTGCGTATGTGTGTGTGTGTATGTCCGAGTGCTCTTTGTTCCGCACTTTCAACTCGAGAACCACAAAAGCTAGAAGGCTGAAATTTTAGGGGATTGTTCCCTGCCAACGTGCGGCGGCCCCCTCAATTTTAGATCCAGCCTCTCCGTACTCCTGAATAATACATACGGTTCGTGAAAGTTTTGACGGAGGAAATTATTATCTGGGAACTGTGGGGGCTAGAAAGCTGAAATTTTGGGCGAATGTGGCCTCGCAGAATCAAATTCAGCTTTCATATGCGTTTGGGTTTTTTGTAAGACCTCGCGGAAGTAATAGTGGAGAAAATTATTATCTCGAGAACTGAGTCTGGAATTTCAGAGGGATGTTTTCTGCTTGTGCAGATACCTCACAAACTCAAATTTAACTCCCAAGCAAGCCAAGGTCTTACGTATGACCATGCGAGAATTTCAATGCGAAAACCGCTAGCTCGGGAGCCGGAAAACTGGGAGATTGAAAATGAGAGGATGTTCCTCATCCAAGGTTTCAAATTCTGTTTTCATATACTGGCACTTCAAATTTTTGGTGGGAAATTAGTCAGCTTATAAGCCAGACAACAAATCGACTATTTTTTCACATACGAAAGTATAAAGCATTGAAAATCTTTAGAACGTTCGCTGGACGGGATTGCGCAAAACGCATGAACGCACCGGCTACCTTGGTGCACACCGCAATTTATGTCGAAATCTTATCAGTTTAGTCAAAAACCCTAAAAAAAACCGTTAAAGCTATTTTTCCGCATCTATGTAGGTTTTAATGAGTTCAAACCCAGCCCTCGGGTGTGTGTGGTCCCCAGATACGGGCTCGTGAAAGTTTTTTACGGGTAAATTGCCAACTCGGGAAACTGAAAAGTTAGAGGGCAGGAATTTCAAGGCGATGTTCCCCGTCCACTTAGGTCCTAATGGGTTCAAACCCGGCCCTCGGATATGCATGGTCTTCATGTACGGGCTCGTGAAAATTTTTTGCGGATAAGTTGTTAACTCGGGAAACTGAAAAGTTAGAGGACAGGAATTTCAAGGCGATGTTCCCAGTGCAAATAGAACTTAGTGGCCTCAAGCTGTACTCCTAGTTATGCGTGGTTCTCACATGCGGGCCGGTGAAAATTTTTACGGGTAAGTTGCTAACTCGAGAACCAGAAAAGCTAAAAAACTGAAAATTTAGGAGGATGTTTTCAGACAGCCCTGGTGCCAGTCTCAGTTCTCTTAACTAGAAAATCCGCCGGAAAAACAACGCCGTTAGCGATAAAAACTGTGGGCAATTATGCAAAAAAACCGCATCTTCGCATGGGCAGCCCTTGCGTTGGCCAATTATTTTGTTTTAGGTCGCTGTGCCCGGTGAAGGAAATGCACTGACGGTATTTAAAGGAGCGCAGAAACCGGTGAAAGGCGAGAAAGAATGCCTGCTTTTTTACGATCAAAGTACCGGTGAAGTAAGGATTGAAAAATTGTCTTCAGTAATGTCTGTTAAGAAAACAAGGTAATTTTCTTCATCTCTTTCCATATTTTGATAGTCCAAGGAAGCTTGCATCCCTTCAGTAAAAAAAAAGGATAGTGGTTAAAAAGTACGATTTTTTGAGTTTTGATTTGAAAACGTTGAGAATTAAAGTGTGTGTTATTCGAACAGTTTTTGATTTGAAATTTCCAAAAAACAATTTTTGAGTTTTGATTTGAAAACTTTTAAAAGAAATTTTATTGTTTATTGAAATTTCACTTAGACCGTTAAAATACCTAAATGTTTTAAATTAAACTAATGTTAATATTTAAGAATTTAGTTTGCATTTGATCGTTGCGTTTTCTCACTGTTTTGCAACATTCCCTATTTGCTTTTATTTTGCCTACACAGAACTCAATAACCCCGCTTTATAGTCCCATTGCTAACTCGACTCTTTTGGTTTTTTCCGCTCGCATCTTAATAATTTAGCTTACACCGCGCCGGAGCAAGGGGTGTTTACTGGAGATGTGCTGTAGCTTCCTGGCGCCTATTGTAGCGTATTTATCTTGGGAGCTGAATACTCCCGCGCCTAGACCCCAGCTCCCCCCCCCCCCCCCCCCCCCCCCCCCCCCCCCC